GTGCGAAAAAAAAAGTATTTCTTGAAATTTCAGCAAATGGTATTGCTTGCATATATATCACTAAGATATCTTAGATTTGTGAATCATTCCTCTTTGGTTTCATCATTCAATAATAAAGACTATGTCACGTTAAGAAGAATTAAGATGTAAGCGAACCTCATGAACTCATCCCTTCCTTGAAGCCAAGAAGAGGTTACCAGGCCAAAAAGTCCTTATTTTCATGGAAGATACCATATCGAGCAGATCCTAAGGAATGCACAAGAATTTTTTTTTCAACTTCTAGAGCCCACGAAATTAAATTCCTGTAATATCCGAAAAACAACATGCGTACCTAGGAAAGGTAGGCAGAAGAAGTAATAATAATAATAATAATAATAATAATAATAATAATAATAATAATAATAATAATAATAATTCTCGATGGACAAATCGTAGAGTGGTCTTGAGCAGTCGACATTTTGATGTCGAATGCGAGATTGAATATTTGACTGATTTCTCTACTTGTTTTTTTTTTGGGAATGACAGCTTCATTAATAGAAATTGAATATTTGGAAAATCAAGAAAATCACCAACGGTCACGAGAGAACGTATATAAGAATGCGTTCAGATTTTTATCGGATATAAAATATATAAAAACATTTAGGTAAGGAATTAGTGAGAGTCCATTGCACTGCTAGTGAGTGCTAGAACCATTTGTGGTACAGGGACATGGGTCTTCTGCATGTATTTTGCCAGATAAAAGTGGCTCATTCTATTTTGTGGATGAAGCACAATAACTTTTTTTCTTTCCACTGCCATTATTATTTCAACATAACATTGACATAACCTCCATAATAACAACAAAGAAACCACACCACATTGGCACAGAACACATTCGAGAATCGTTAATTCGATGTTGCCAGTTCATGCTATTCGACAAAATTTGTCTCATGCGAGTTTGAAGTCGAAAGCAATCGAGAACACCACACTTAAACGTTGTGCGACCATTATTTCTATCGGCATATGTCGCATACGACATATTACGTTCGACATTCGGGAATTGGCCCCCTGGTAGAGTGTATTTCGACATATTTCCAGGTTGACAACGAAACGATATGCTGATTGTGCTTGTCGAGTTCGTCTGAATGGTATTGCTGGTGATGAAATTATAACAAAGATTGCTGAGGAACATTTACCGTGGAAGTATTCGAACAAAAGGTGAGGTCGCCAAGATACCAACGATTTTCAAATGAGGTCAAATGATTAATGGGTGTGGCATCACCCAGCAGGCGGATGGCTTTACTCTGGATGGAATCTGAGAGCATCAGCGTATGTTTGGGTGCTGAGCACTATATATGAGAACAGTATTCTGGAACTTGCTGTATCTGTACTTTGAAGATCATGAGAAGCTGTTGAGGTGTGATGTAGATTTTCGCACGGAATGAATATTCGAGTTTATGTGGGGCAGCTTTCGCGATCGATCAGACATTGTTTTTCTATGAAAGATTATTGCTGATGAAAATACCGAGTATAGATATAGTGGTCTCTGCGGGAATAGTGGTACCAGAATCTGTAAAACCAGGCATACTGTGTTCCACCTTTCTAAAGAGAATGCAGGCCGCCAAAACGTGTTAAATACAACTAGGTTGTTGGTTCCCCACGCTAAAATCTCAGCAAGATCGTCATTGATTGCGTTAGCAGGCAGGTGCGTCGTGAGCTCTCAGTTTCCTGGGAAGAAATGGGAATTCTAGAAGAGAACGCAGTATGGAGAGTAATAGCGTATTCAACGCTGTGGATAGGTCCAGTGGTTGCTTATAACAGATCATTGATATGAATTAGGAAAATGTTGGTGCCAAAATTGGAGCGACCTGCCTGGAAGGAAACTCGATAAAAGATGGCATAGCCGAGGTGGTGAGCTGTATGATGGTAGTTTGTATAGGAGTCCTTGATGCCAAATACTAGTGTTGCCATCTAGACAAGACAAAAGTTGTATACGCGTAAGTGTTGATCAAATGAGCTAAGTGCGGTCTTGTCTAGATAACGAAAGTCTAGATTATTATTCAAGACTCTAGGTAAAATGCTCAGCTTAAATTGCGTAGAAACAGTCAAGTGCATGCAAACTCCCGCTCTCTGGGAACCAATCAAAACAAATCATAGCCGCGCCAGCGAAACGACGTGCACGTGCGGACACAAGGAAGCAGGTGTTATTATATTGTTCGAGTTCATGACTCTGAAGATAACAGTCCACTTGACTTCAATTTTTTATTTGAAAGTTCTACCTCTTCTACAGACAATTTTATTGACAACCCAAATTTCTGGAGAAAAGAAATTGATGAGTACCTTTCAAGTAAACGTGCTCCAAGAGAAGAAGATATTTTTGTTTGGTGGCGCGAGCATCAGTTTGCTTATCTTACATTAGCCAAAATGGCACGCGATTTGCTGAGTATTCCTGCCACATCTGTTCCAGCAGAACGCTTATTTTCTAGAGCTTCGCTTACCATTCGTAAACATAGGAATAGGCTTAATTCCGATTCATCCAGGTCACTCCTATGTATCAATTCATTGGCTACCTGTCAGCTTCATGAAAGTATTAAAAAATATGTTTCTGTTTAAAATTTAATTTGTTTCTTCAACGTGCTTAAATTTAAAACATATTAAACGTTCGTAAGTTTTTTTTGTATTATTTGTAATATAGATTTTAAAATAATCAAGAGTTTTGAATAAAAGTCTTGTATGGAAAATGAAAAGTATTGTCTTGTCTAGATAATCTAGACAAGACATATTGATGATCTTGTCTTGATATTCTAGACAAGACAAGACAAGAGTCTAGAATCTATAAGTCTAGACGGCAACACTACCAAATACGGTCGAATACCTTCGATATGTTCAGCGCCACAGTTAGAGATTTCACATGTTCATCTAATGTATATGGGTAGTGAATCTCCAGTTGATCTCCGGTGACGAATGCCATTTTGTCTATCAATAATGATTTCTCTCCAGATTACCGATGAGCTCAATGTTGATGGCTTTCTCCATCAGTTCGGAAATGACTGATAACAGGACAATTGGCCTACCCAAATAACATTATCAGTTTTATTGTTAGCTACAGGAGGCTGTTACAGCCTATTTTGAAATGCCTTTTCAAAACTATCATACTTCAATAATATCATTAAAACAATTAAACAACCTCCTCAAAACATGGAGCCTTTATAAATGCTGTCACAGCTTCTCTTAATGCTTGTCATAAAACTAATAGGAATTTATTGTAGTATGCCTCAAAGCAATAATAAAACTACTTCCTTTAAAGCCTTTCAGCACGAGTTCAAACCTATATGCTTCAAAACGACAGTTCTTATGCCAACATCAAAACTTATTGGCTAGAATCAGTCTCTTTTCAGAACTAATTATAATACAGACATGTCAAAATGGAGTGGAAACAATAGATAGTTATAAAAGAGATTGAACATGGCGGTGATATGATAATTCCCTACTGTATCATATAGTCCTTTTTGTGAAGATTGAGGCTGTAAAATGATAACGATGACGACTTTTTTGACGAAAACATATCAGATATGCTTCAAAAGAAGCAGGGCCCCAGAAATAATGTGTTTTTACTAGTTAGAATTGGATGTGAATTTTAATAACTTTTCAAAAAAGTTGACAAAACGGTATGAATGTATGCTGAATATGGGTGGGTCGTTTGAAAATGTGGAAAAACAACATTTTCGACGGCAGTATCAATGTATCTTCTCTATTTTTCGCTTGAAATTTTCATGTCCATCAATGGCCGACATGTTGCATTTTTGAGACGATTTCCTCCTGTTGAAGTACTTATTGCATATTCAAATCCATTCTTATGACTATTTGCTCCTGGGTATGACAACAAAGCCTCGAAAATGATAAGATTGATTTAAGAAAGTTATAAGATAACGCCTTCATAAAACTATAAAGCTTTAAGAATATCCTGGCTAGTGCTCATAGACAAACTACACTCAGTGCAGTTTGCCTGATATTGTGTTGGATGCTCCATTCTCTCAAATTCATGCTGAACTCCCCATCTGACATAATTTGTGCAAAACTTTTGTCAACTTCCTCGCTTCCTCGTTCCTATTCAGAAGCACGATGATCAGAAGTATCTTCCATCACGTTCTGACTCGTTGATGGTACTTTATGAAAATCATGTCCTATTTTTCGGTTTCAGGTGGGATGAATTGAAAGACGCAGTGTTTGGAATCGCTTGAGCTTGAGAATTCTGATTCACTGTTGCTCTCACGACTTGATTTTTGATTCTTGAGTAATTTTCTTCATTTTTTCGCTTGAAGTTGCGATTTCTCTCAATATCACACTATTTATCTTCTTGGGAGTTCATTTCAACGTGAGTCGTTTGCAGACAAAAACATTTATTGTGGCTCATAGGTTTTGATAATTACTTTCACATAGCTAGAATAATGCCATTAGGTTTCATTATTGCCTCAGTCAAATCCTAATTGGCCTAGCATAAATTTGGTTTTATGATTGCTTTATGACATATTTTCATAGGATTGGTTCAAAACCTCTTGGTCAAATTGTTTTGATGAAGAATTTGGATGACTCTCACAGAGCTCTCTTGGAACCGAAGTGAGCTGAATAGTTCTATCATAGTATCTCAAAGCCTTTCAATAGAATTATATGAACATGAAGGCTAATATGCTTTTTCCAGGGCATTCATAAAACGGTAGAACAAATCAGACCTATCATATAACGTCTTTAAAGTCACATCGAAGCTATATTTCCATAGGTTCCTATTTTTCCATTAGGTCACTGCCTACAAACATATCCCTGTTAGAAATTAAAAGAATACAATTCTCAATACAATATCCTTCTCCAATGAAACAGTTTGGGTTTCTTTATTGATGAACATCGAAACTTGGGAGCTGAAAGACGTAGGCAAATCAAAGTCCATAATATGAGGAACATGTTCTTTAGGACCCAAGTTATGAACGTCCACAGATGCATCCTGAAAATAAATTACTAGATGAGAACTAGGTACCTATGAGTTTCCTTATTTTCCTGCGAGGATCAGCATTTTTTGGTAACAAATGCTTAGGAAATGAAAATATACTGGGTACAGCATCTGGTTTCAATAACCTAGCAGTACCTGGTATGTCTAAATGAATAATCAGTTGGCAGAAAATGCTCTCCACAAAGCTTGCTGGTTTTAGATGCAGTCCAATTCTCTCTACGAACTGCCTACAATTCAAGAATGTCTGAATGGAAAACTGCAACGGATAATATTACTTAATATGTTTATGGAAAAGTCATGGAAGTATTTAACTTTGACAAATGATATAGGTATAAGTTTTGAACATATTCTGAGACTGGGAACATTGTACACCTATCTGATGATCATTTCGTAAACTATATTTTCCAAAAATCTGAACAATATTCAACTTACCCATGGAATGACAATTGACTTTCGTCTTTCTCGTTCTTGCATCCAAAGGCGACACAATAAATCACCATAGTTTATCAATATGAAATCACAAACCTTCTCAACAATCAGTTCACAGTGATTACACCAACAAATTTAGTACATTTGATAAAACAAAACACGCCAAATGAATAGATATTTCACATAACCAAAGAAAATGAACTTGCCTGCTCAGATGAGAGAAAAAAATCTGGAGTATTCAAGTTATTAGATAAAAGAAAACGTAAACACCAATCCACCAATGAAACAACACGAGTAGGAAAGAGACAGGTAACCGTAAAACATGCTATCTTTGTTACAGCTGCCCCTGACACACTTTGTGCTCTTCGAGAGAACGGCGCTCTGCCCTGGAAATCTGAGGAGGAGTTTGCTGCGAACATAATTTTCTGCAAAAATGTTTGCTTTCTCTTGCGATGTTGTTGCTGATGTGCCGTCCTCTTTGGGGATTGGTGGGAATGAACTATTAGTGAAATTTCATCCGACTGCTTTAGCAACGGACCAAAACGAATGGGAGCCACTGGAACAATCTATGAGTTTTGATCTTATCTTGGCATTGTATGATTTCTCTGATGCATCTATTGTTTGGCTGCAGGTATTTCTAGCTTCAAAATAGTCTGCTCTAGTCACGAGGTTGGGTTTTTGCGCCAGCGATGGTCATATGATTAAAGAATATGCTGTTTTTCGTACAATTTGTCGATGTGTACAAATGATTGTGTCTCTAAAGTTCCGAATAGTGAAGTTTCAGACGCATAATGAATTAATCACAATATTTCCATTCATAGACATGAGAAGCGTATATTCTAGGAAAATGATTACTTCTACTCATTGATTCAACCTCAGGAATTTTATTAAAAATATTACAAATCAAATTAAGTATATATTCCACATAATGCTCCATGTACCTGATTTGTAAGTAGGTAATAAGTCAATATTAAACAAGATATATTGATTAATTTCATAGAACTTACATATGGGCTGAATAGACCCACTTACTTTTATAATCTTACCTATGTGCCAATCAATAACATAATCATGTCTTGTCAATAATAATCAAGCAAGTCGAACGTTTCCATAATACTCTTCAGAAATGTGAAAAAAATCTCAACAAGTTCTTCTGTTCTATTATACTTCACACGTGTATTTGCATTTATATTTGTTTCCTCTGCTGGCAGTTTTGCAACGGAATCAAAACTTTTTTCATACTTCCGCGAGCTCTTCTGAATAAATTTCGAGAATACACACAGAGATTCCTGCTATGGATTATTTGAGAAAAAGTGGCATTCGATTGAAATATTGATATTCTCAATCCACCGATTCTTTTCCACTATACGAACAGAAATATAACCTGAGATCTACAAAGAGATGTAAGGTTTTTCATAGACTTTTTCACTGTTATATTCTCTCATTTTATCCTTTCGATGTTTATGTGCTGTGCTGGAATTTTCAGACGTCTAGACTCTATCCGGCAGTACAAATCAATACCCTAGACTGATGCATGTCTATATGCATCATACATATTCACTTGCTTCACCACATGAGGGACCTATAGAGGGTTACTGGTTTTTCGACACATTGGTGTGATAGAGAAGGTGGTAAGGGGTGGATTCAACCCTAAAATGCATAATGCAAAAGTTAACAGCTTTTGAGATATTTCAATTTTTCTATTCTTCTACAAAAAGTAGACTCTGAGGGTTTGAGAGTTAGTTTTCCGAAAATCTGCTGTAAATATTTTGAACATGATCAAAACTATGGTCTTATTGAAGAGGAATATACTCAGATATATTTATGAACACGAAAAAATCGATATATATATATATATATAAAGAAATACATTGAGACCTCGCATTCTCTCTTCAACAGAAAACAACTACTTTCCTGGCTAAATGCCACGACGAATATTGAATTACATCTATTGAACACACGATGAGAATTTGAAAACATAATCTTCTGAAATGGAGAATTTGCATTGCATATAATAGAAAGTCATTTTTTGAAATGAAATACCAAAAAATACAATTATTATTCTTCAAATAACAAAACAGATTATCGCCATACGCAAAAATAAAAACTGATCTGATTCAGTTTCTGGTTAGATACCAACTTGTGATATTTCATTAGAAAGGGAATTGATAATGCTGAATAAAGCGAAAAGAAAAAAAATAGGGTTTCCATTCAAAATAAGAAAGTTGATGTTACTTCCGGTCAGACCGGAAGTTAACGTCGACATGTCAATATGCTCAAATTCTAGCTCTTATGTCATTATATCGACGCTTCAAATTTCACAAACCTACTTCATACAATAACTGAGATATTCCGTAGGCAATACTTCCGTAGCCACCCGGTATATATCCATTTTTTTGTATTCATAAATATATCTGAGATATTCCTTTTCAATACTTCCACCCCATCAAGTGGTTCAAGCTTGAACGATGGAAACTTGTTATTTTTATAGACCTCAATCGCAGATTCTTGATTAGGTTTTCTCAATTCAGAATTTCTTTCCACGTCCTGTATGATAAATATCAATTTATCATACATCCAAAAACATAATAGGGTCTTATATTTATAATGGAACAATTCCAGAAATAATTTAATTCATAGATGAATATTAAATACACAGTCGTACTTTTGTTTGTGAATTGTGGATTTCAACACATTCTAGCGGTTATTTTTGGAAAAATCTCTAATAAGCCACATTTGTCAAGAAATTGTTGAAATTTCCTTGAGACAATAGCTATTTGATTCAGTGAAAATGAAACTTTTAGTGCTTGATACGGATTTGTTATTTCAGAAGCAGAGAAAAAAACATACTTGAAAAATGCCTATCAGTATATATTTTTGGCGATACAGCAGTTTTTTATTTTCGTCTATTTGCTCGAGGCATCCAAAGAGCATAACATATTTTCATAACCTTCATTATTAGGCCGAAGAAAACCCCCGATAGAAGGAAAACTAGTTTTGAACGGAAGTTTTGTGTTAAAGTGTGGATGGGACTCATTGACAGTTTTTTGATAGGACCACATTTTTTCCTAGACCATTTGAACATAAAAATGAATTAACATTTTCTACTGCATGATGAACAGGAGCTTCTTGATGATATTTCTCTCGTCATCAGAGGACGAATGATATTCCAACAAGGCGGTTGTCCAGCGCATAGCCGAATGTTCAAAATCTAGATATTTTAACTTTAGGATTTTTTGTGTCGAAACTATTCATTATCGGTCAAAACGGCTTTCATGCCCCTATCTTATCAAAATTCAGAATTATGAACCACCCTGTATTCGTTCAAATTGAATATCAGTAGATAGTGATTCAAAAGTTAAGATGGGGACATGTGAGTCCCAAAGTTAAAAAATCTCGATTTTGAACACCCTATATCTGTTTAATCATTCCCGTCAGAAACCAAGTGTGATACCTTGATGAAAGCAGCTTTTCAGGGAGAATCTGAAAATGCAATGAAATACAGGGTGTTCCATTTGAAAATCTAGAGTTGATGCCCGTTACGCTTCAAGATTTCAGCTTTGGAACTCAAAAACTTCACATTGCTAGTTTCAGAATTGAATTACCTTTGCAATGACGTAAAACACGTCCCTTATTCCCTATTCAAATCATTGAGAGGGTTGCTCTGGGAAGTAGAGGGTTGAAGTATGGATTATTTATTTCGCGTCAAAAGGTTTCGCACTCCATATAAAAATCGACCTGTCTCGTCTTTTGTTGTAAAATAATAATTCTGGGAGATATCGAGGATGGAAAGTCTTAAATGAATCACTTGGTATACTTTGCCTCGTCTTGACTTTCCACAAACGAAATTGATCTCCTAACGTGGATGATGGGTACCAGCACATACAGGGTACGAGGGCAATGAAGAGGCAGACTCACTTGCCCGATCAGGAGCAAACAAAGCTCTTGATGCCTCTCAGGGGCTCACGACTTGTGAGTACGGGAATGGCAATCCCGAGGTACCCTAGCCGGATACTCATTAATCTTCAACTTGTCTTTGATGGTATCCTCTTCACTCTTCAGTTTCCAATCTTTTTCTTCATCGGCCTCCCTTGGTCACTTCTCCTCTTTTCCATCTCCCCTAAAGCCCAACCTCACCATAGTGCGGGGAGGACAAGCCGCGGCTGCTCGGCAGATTGAGCATTTTTGGAACATCTTTGCTGTCATCACTCAGATGGGACAGTTTTGTGGACATCTGAGTGCGAGGATGGGGCAATTTGTGAACATCTACTTATGTGGCCGCGGATTGATAACGAGGCTCTGGCAATCCCCTCAGGGGCTCACAACTTGTGAGTACGGGAATGGTGAACCCGAGGTACCCTAGCCGGATATTCACCATACTTCAACTTATCTTGGGTGATATCCTCTTCTCTCTTCTGTTTTCAATCTTTCTATCGGCCTTTCTTGGCCAACTTCTCTTTTCCTCTGCCCCTCCAAGCCCAACCTCACCATCAAGTGGTGTGGGGAAGGCAGGCCGCGGCCGCTTGACAGATGAAGCATTTTGGGACCATCTTTGCTATCTTCTGCCAGATGGGACAATTTGTGTTGGTCGAGGACTGGTCAACGAGGCTCTGGCAACCTAATCCAAGCTGTGGGAACCCGTGGCGATGGATGGATGGCACCGAGGAATGGTGTCGCTAACGGGGCTTCTGGGAAACAGGGTGACATCCCAGAGTAAACAGCCTTAGCCCTGTGCAAGGGGCACCACAGGGCTGGACCAACCCCTTCCCCCGTCACTCGTAGGAGAAGGAAAACTTTTGGCCTTCTTCGTAGACGAGAACAGGGATCGGAAGAGCAATCTTCAGGAACCTGAACGAAAAGGGTCTTTCATATTGAAGTGGCCCTTAATAGGCACCATGAGTCGTATGTGGTAAAATTGATAACGGCATGTAGGTGAGATACAATGGGCCACTAGGCCTAAGTGTCGTCGGAGCCTACAACGGGGTGGAGTCTTTAGTGGGTATACCATGGAGAGGACTCCCACACTATCATATGGGGGATTGGACCCATATGATGTCTATAAAAGATTTCGACCACCCCGGCAAAAAAAAAGCTCTTAATGGCCAGAACCCTTCTGTGGTATTGCGAAAGCTATACAAAAGACTAGTATCAAATCATGGATGCAAACCAAATCTCAAGAATGGTG